GACTCTGACTGCTCCTAGTGCTGATCAGACTGTGAATGTGTCATCCCCACAGATCATTGAACATGCTCCAGTCCTCACAGCTTTAGTGTAGATCAGCCATAAGAGTAGCTAGTGTGATAAGTTGGTGTGAAGATTTAGTATCAACGATTCTGTAGAAGCTGTAAGTAGACCTAAGTTACTCTACTTCAGTTACTGTAAGTTATGTAACTGAACTCAACGCAACTTAGGTCAACTTAAAGCAGTGTCTACACTGTGCTGTGTAGACGGGAGACGTACTGCTACTGACTTACCTTACACTTCTTGGGGAGCTGGAGTACAGAAGTCGACGGGAGAGCTCCCTCCCATCAAGTTGACGCCGCTGCATCGATCACAGCAGTGCCAATTTAGCCATAAGTATAGACAAGCCCTATGTGAAACTAGTTACCTCGATCAATAGGATCTGGGTATCTAACTCTTAGGGCTTATACACGTTAGCACTTACTTTGATATAATTTAAGTCACTCAGAGGTGTGGAAAAGCCACCCCCGTAAGCAACACAAGTTACACTGATCTAAGCGCCAGTGTGGACAGCACTATGTCGGCAGGAGAAGCTCTCTCCTGCTGACACAGCTACTGCCGCTCGTGCAATGGGAGAGTTTTCTACCATTGGCATTAAAGCTTCTGCACCAGCAGCAGTGGCGTAGCTACATCGGTACAGCTGTGCCTTGCTGTAGTGATTCTAGTGTAAACTAGTCCTTAGGGTATGTCTACACTGTAAAACAAAAACACCTGCAGGGATGAGTCTCAGAGGCCAGGTCAATTGACTCAACCTCACAGGGCTCAGGTGGCAGGGATAAAAATAGCAGTGTAAATGCTCCCTCTTGGGCTCCAATCCGGACTCTGAGACCCTCCCTCATGTCAGGTTTCACCACCCAGGCTGGAATAGCTAACACTGCTATTTTTGGCTCCACAGTCCAAACCAGAGTCAACTGACCCAGGCTCTGAGACTCAATGCCTCAGGAGTTGTTTTGTTTTTGCAGTGTGGACATGCCCTAAAGCTCCTTTGAAAATTCCAGCCTTAGATGCCAAAGGTAAATCAATCAGTCAGGTTACATTGTTATTAAAGGATGTTGGAGCCAATCATCACTCAAGAAAGTATGACATTATTTCCTGGCTGTAACTAACACAATCTTCATCCTGCAGTCATCTGCCTGTTATTTAGTACAAGTGAAGGCAAATAGCACCAATAAGAAATTGACTTGAAATATAATTTTTGGATATGCATAAAAAAAATTAAAGGTCACTAAAATCAAATTATTTAAATAGCTAATCTGCTCGTGTGTCAATTAATTTTGCAAAAGTGCACATACAAATGAGCTAATTTTGCTTCAACCTATATATCTGTAGTTGGCAATGTAAAACTGGATGAGGAGAAGTTTGATGTCACATCAGGAGCAGGATTAGAGCGTAAGCACTATAGGTCTATGCCTAGGGATGGTTTCACAATAAAGTTTAACAGAGTATATTTTAGAAAACCTCAATTAAATTAAGGCTGATACTAAAGAATCCAAGAAAGCACCCTGTGACGTGTCCTTGTTTACTTAAAAAAATGTTCTAGTGACTTCTGTAGATATGTCGTCACTGCTTTCATTAATGTGACCTGAGTTAACTGATCTTTGTCTTTCTTCAGCCAACTGAAATAGCTTGAGTGTTTTGGACTGCTCCATGTCTCTCAGGGGAGCATTCATTTTAAGACCAGCACCTCTGGGGGTTCCCCTCTCCCACTGCCCCATCCCCAAACAGAAAACTGCATGTGGCAGGAAAAAAAGTCAAGGGGACTTGGCCCACCCACACAAACAGACATACCCTGATTTCTAGGTTAATTACTGGAGGAGGCTCCTCCGGCCCCCTTCTGCTACTCTTGCCTCTAAAGAGAGTGGAAGAGAAGAGGGGAGCAGACTCCTATACTGCCATGTCTGCTAGTACCAGGGGGACAGAGGCCCTATGACAGTGCATTTATGTAGGGAGGAGGACCCTCAGCAATACAACTCCAAGTGGGGGCAGGAACAGTGTGTGGAACACAAAATTAGAGCCATAGAACGTTCCCTTGTATTGCGGTGCCTCTATGGGGCTGCTTTGCCTTAAAACACTCCTTGGTCGCCCGCCTTAATCACACATTTAGTCAGCCATGTTATACATGGGTTAGGAGCAAAAAAAGCAACAACAACAACAAAAAAACAACAACCAAGATGGGATTGGAAAAAGGGGTGTGATTAAGGACCTACATCTGATGTGACAACCACACCAATCAGAAGTGAACTGAATTATTCACAGGATAACAACAGAGGAATAAGGACGGGGAAGGGAGGACAGCTATGGAAGGAAGCACTCACAAGGCAACATTGTACATCTGTGAAATTCACAGATAAAATGATAGCACTGGAATGGAGAGATCGTGGACAGAAAAATTTCTTAAAGCACCTCTAACTCTTACATTTCTGTAACACATTCAAATATTCAAGACCATGTTGGGTTTTTTTTGTGGGTGGGGGGCAGAGGTGTTTGTTTTTTAATTGTAAAACAAAACAAAAAAGATAAAATGGCTATAGACAATGCATATATGCTGTGCACTGGTGGACTAATTATAAGGCCAGAAGGAAACACTGATTCAGCCTGAACTACATACCACAATCCGTAGGACTCCCTTGAATTAATTCCTGTTTGAATTAGGGCACATCTTTTTAAATGAAGATTGCACCTTTTTCTAATATTTTCAATGATAGAGAATCCCTGGTGGTCTCAAGGATTTTCACCAGTATTGGAGGGCAGAGCCGTCCCCAGGGTACAGCAAATCGGGGTGACCACACTGGGCCTCCCCTCCCCCACATTTCATGAGGAGGCGGGCCGGGAGGTGAGGTGGGAGGTGGGTGAGCGGGGGTGAGGAGGAGCTCCCCCCAGCAGATAGAAACTCGGCACCAATATCCTGGGCCCTGCACCCCCCTAGGGACAGCCCTGTAGGAGGGAATAAGGAGTGATGTCATTCACATTTTTCTGAAGTGACTTAGGTGGTATGTACATGCACTTCGATACATGATGAATGTAAAACATATTATATAACAGTAATATCACCAGTGGAAGACCTCATAAAAGCAATTCCCCACTATTTAATTTTCTGAAGTACTTCCAGAATCTAGAGACGGACTAGATAATCTAATAGGTTTCTTCTATCTCCTGGCCAACACAAGGTTGTTCCCTATTGTACATTTACTATGGTTGTTTGTTTTGGTCCAGCAGAGTTTTAAGTGTCCCAAGCAACAGGATTTCCACCATTTTCCACCAGCCAAACATCTCAAAGAAGCTTACCCCTAATATTCTATTTAAGTGTCTTCCTTTAATTTCATCTCATTATGCCTTGTTATACCTCACCATTTTCAGTGTTTACATCTTACAAATTTCTACATTCATCCCCACCATTTATTCCCTTAGCCACAATCTATTATTTAGCTCTTTCCATCTTTACTCATAAAGACAAAAATCCTTCAAACACCCTAACTTCTGATGTTTTCTTTGAACATCCTTCAGTTAGTCAATATCTTTTATGGCACTGAGTAGGCTAGACCTGAACATAGTATTCCTGTTGCTCCTGCAGTAGGACCGAATACAGAGGGACTATGATGTCTATGACATGAGACCTCTGCATATGCAGCCAAAAGTTACATTTTTGTTTTGTGCTGCTATCACTTTGCAAATTTATGCCTGACTTGCTATCCACTATATCACTTTTTCTATTGCTATCATTTCTTCCCAGATTTCTAACTTCTGGGTCCATACAATGTTTTCCCTTTAGAAGCACTATTAGCTTGCATTTTTTCAACTTGAAGCTCATTTAGTTATTTTCTGCTCATGTTTATAATGTAAGTCACCCTCTTGATCCTCGCTGATGTTTGTAAATCTTCCTAATTTAACTTCTACATTTTCATTAACTTGATTTTTACTATCTGTCACAGACCATTAAGATATCAGACCTAGCAGATCCCTTGAGATTCCTCACAGACACTTCCCTGCAACAAAATGATTTTGGTGATTAGCTTAACTTAAAAAAAAAAAAAGAAGGAAGGAGAGATAAAGACAAGGTAAAGTTATTGGTTAGGAAGGTTGTTTTCTTAACATTCAACCCATGCACAATGGGTGCTACTACAAAAAAAATAACCCCCACAAAACATATGTTCAATTCAATATTTCAATTTTAAAGGTCAACATTTTGTAGGAGATTTAACTACATTAACTTACACTTTCCCTTTTCATCCTCTAAGACCCTACTCCTGCGAACAAACATACATAACCGTGCTCATGAGCAGTCCCACTGAAGACATGCATTTCTCCAATTATTTTGATGGCTGTTGGTTTTAAGGTTTATATGTCATAGTGAACAATTAAGTCTGCTATATTTTTTTAAGCGATGTGAGTAATATGACATCTCAGTACATTTGCTACTGAATCGTTGCCTAGTGGGGGAAGAAACTGGGATTTTTATCAGTTAAAGTGTTCAATTACAGGAGTGTTTATTAAGTGCCATTCTACTGTACATTATTTACAACTGCTCCGATGTCCTTTTTAAAAAAAAAAAATAGTTTCACTGTTAACTACTTTTCAGTTGAAATATTAGATTCCACAAAATACCGTCAAATGAATTTTTTTTTTTTTTTTTTAAAGTTGAAGGGTTCGTTTACAATGAAGGTTAACAAAGTAAGCTTTTGGAGACTTTCACAATTCAGTGAAGGCAAATATTAAAGGATCCAGAAAGCACTATCATGTCACACATCCCTGTTTACTTTACTTTAAAATGTTTTCGGGACTATGAAGACTACCATGTACGAATCTCAACTGTGGGAAGACAAGACAGTATGAAAATTCTTTTAAAAAAAACATAGCACTCTGAACCACTGCCACAAATGAGATGCACAGGTGGGAAAGTGTGAGGGGATGACACGAGAATGACAACTTGGTTTCTTCAGTCTTACCTTTGGGCTGCTGTTTTTACTACTGGTATCTGCGCATGAGCATGTTGAAAACGTCTACCGTGCACTACGGTTCCTGGACAAGTTATATTCTGGGAATTTTCACTGTAAACATTATAGAAAATAAGGTAAACGAAAGTTACAAGATTAACAAAACTGCAGAAACAATGAAAAAAGCAAAGAAATGTCATGAAGCTAATCAGCAACTAAAATAATATAATACTCAAATTATGTAACTACATTGCTTTGATAAAGAAGCAGCATAGTTAGAAGTGAGGATTCTCAGCATCTCCTGACTTGCGGGCCTATAAACCACACACGGTTTCTTGTTGTGACTCAACTGCTACAATCTTTTGCAATGATATTCTATAATCCTTTGCAGTCACAAACCTCTAATTTGAAAATGTTATAAAATATCTAACAAAAAAAAATAGAAAACATCTAGATTAAGTATTGTACACGGAACCGGAAATCAATGTCTCTAGTTCTAATCCTGGCTGTGCTGAAGTCTACCTCTGTGCCTTTATGAGCATAGCTGCCATACCAAAACAGCCCAGCATTTTACTGTTGACATTGGCCAGTACCAAACTTTTTAAAGGAAGGGACAAAAATCTGCGTAACAGACCATTATCGAATATTTTGCCAAAAAAAACATTTCTTCCTAACCTGAGGCAGCTTGTGGTTGGCTAAGATATTAGATATTATAAAATAACAGGTATGTTGACATAAGCCTTTATTCAATGCTGATAAGCTCTTGGTCTCAAAGTATTTTGTGGCCATGAGTTCCCCAGGTTAATTAGGCATTGACAGGAAAAATATTTACCTTTACTTTTAATTTAGCTGCCTTCATTTTCATTCATTCCTTTGATTTTTGTTTTGTTGGATTTTTTTTTAGTTTTTGTTTTAAGTCAGGGGTTCTCAAACTGGGGGTCAGGACCCCTCAGGGGGTTGCAAGGTTATTATATGGGGGGGGGGTCATGAGCTGTCAGCCTCCATCCCAAGCCCCGCTTTGCCTCCAGCATTTCTAATTGTGTTAAATACACAAACAACTGTTTTTAATTTATAAGGGGGGGGAGTCAGACTCAGAGGCTTGCTATGTGAAAGGGGTCACCAGTATAAAAGTTTGAGAATGACTGTTTTAAGTCTTAGGTTTCTTCCTACTTTTTTTTTTAAAAGCAGTCCTAATCTAGTCACACAGTCATTTAGAAGTTTTTTCATGACTAATCGCTTGCTCATCTCTGGAGCCCTTCTACCTTTGGTATACTTTTTTTTTGAGATATGGTTACCAAAATTTAGCATGGCATTCATGATATGGGAAAAATCACCACGTTTTATAATGGAATAATATTTTCTAGTATTTTCTCCCCCCCCCCCTTCATAAATTTTAGCATGATGAGTAATCAATATGCAATGGAAATCAAAAGAGTAGAGGTTTTCATTGAGTTGTCCACAATCATGAACAGCTCTTTTTCTAGTGCGATTCACATTATTGGATTCTAAATCAATGTTAATGAGTAGTTCAAATTATTCCTTCCCATATACACATGAAGTTCATTGTTGACTAATGCAAGGTCACTACACATCATCAGTATTTACCTAGCTTTGTTAGGTCCTTTTCTTATCATAGGATTCTTTTCATATCTTGACTTAAATAGTTTTGTCCAATCCACAAAAGTCTGACTTGACTATTCACTTCCCTTTCCAAATCCTTAACATATTGAAAACCAACCAATTCAAAAAAATCACTGCTTAAAACCTGTGAGCTTCCTCAGCTACTTACACACACTCCCTCTAGCTCCACCTCAGATGCGGACACTCCAGGCTTCTAATTTAACACCTCTGAACATAAGAACGTAAGAACAGCCATACTGGGACAGACCAATACCAATACCAGGTGCCCCAGAGGGAATGAACAGAATAGGTAATCATCAAGTGATCCATTCCCTGTCACCCATTCCCGGCTTCTGGTAAATAGAGGCTAGGAACACCATCACTGCCCATCCTGGCTAATTGCCATTGATGGACCTATCCTCCATGAATTTATCGAGTTCTTTTTTAAACCGTGTTATAGTCTTGGCCTTCACAACATCCCCTGGCAAAGAGTTCCACAGGTTGACACTGCATTGTGTGAAAACATACTTCCTTTTGTTTGTTTTAAACCTGCTGCCTATTAATTTCATTTGGTGACCCCTAGTTCCTGTTATGAGAAGGACTAAATAACACTTTCTTATTTACTTTCTCCACACCAGTCATGAGTTTATAGACCTCAATCATATCCACCTTTAGTCGTCTCTTTTCCAAGCTGAAAAGTCCCAGTCTTCTTAATCTTTTCCATACCCCTAATCATTTTTGTTGCCCTTTTCCGAACTTTTTCCAATTCCAATATATCTTTTTTGAGATGTGGCGACCACATCCGCACACGGTATTCAAGATGTGGGCATACCACTGATTTATATAGAGGCAATATGATATTTTCTGTCTTATTATCTATCCATATATTAATGATTCCCAACATTGTTTGCTTTTTTGACTGTCACTGCACACTGAGTGGATGTTTTCAGAGAACTAGCCACAACGACTCCAAGATCTTTCTTGAGTGGTAACAGCCAATTTAGACCCCATTCATTTTATATGTATAGTTGGGATTATGTAAAAAGCAACAGAGGGTCCTGTGGCACCTTTAAGACTAACAGATGTATTGGAGCATAAGCTTTCGTGGATGAATGCCCACTTCGTCAGATTATGTTTTCCAATGTGCATTACTTTGCATTTATCAAGATTGAATTTCATGCGCCATTTTGTTACCCAGTCACCCAAGTTTTGAGAGATCCTTTTGTACTCTTCGCAGTCTGCCTGGGACTTAATTATCTTGAATAGACAACATGGGGACAACATGGCAGAAAGCAAGAACAGAGTCAACAATGGAACTTCTTAACTATAGAAGCTTTACTCAAAGCACTCTAGAGTTACAGATCTTTGAAAATAACTGCAGTCCTGAGATACACCCTCTCTTGGGCTGATCTTACCCTTTCTGTGAGTCTGAAGCATTTCAGGAAGGCAGAGTCCCTCCTGCCTTCTTTCTTCTGCAAGTACTCCTTATATTTGGCGATGGTTACTCCTAATCCCCACTCCCTCCTACACAAAAAAGAATCCTACTCTTAAATAGGGTCTCCCCTCTATGGCATGCACACAACTGAAGCTCCAGCCACACCTCCCTCTTGCTTGCCTGACTGGCAAGCCCCTGTGTAGAAAAGCCATTGTTACAAGAAGCTGGGCCAGCAGTTGAGAGCCAATCAAAATCAATAGCTGTTGGTGTCAAACACCCTTCCTAGGCAAGACAACTATCTGAATGCAGTACAATAGGTTATCCCTGGCGGAAGGAGGGCAGATGTGCGCACACCACTGAATGTGCACATACCACTGAGTACACAGATTCCTTGTTTTCAGGTCCGGTGCCTCGTACTACAATGGCTCCTGGCTACCGAGAGCAGAAACTGCAGGGAAACACCTGCTTTGCAGCTATAGCCTTGGGCTTGAGCATGCTCAGTGCAAATGGAATCTTCAGACAATTTAACTGCCAAACTAACAAGTCTCTATTAAGTATATGTGAACTGCCGTTTCTGGGAGGCTATTCACTTGGCCAATTTGGGCAGGTTTTCAAGGGAGTGACAAAAGGCACACGACTGAAACCAGGATGACAGCGCTGCCAAATTTCAAGACCATACTCCAAAGCATGAAGATGCTAAAACTTCCCAATGAAATGGACATAAGTACTTAATATGGGCAAAATAATATATTTCTCCCTAACTTTGTTCTGAGAAACAGTTGGACCAATTTTGCTGAAACATTAAAAAAATAAATAAGCTCCAGGCACACACCTGGCACGGGAAATTACAGTCCGAATGGCTGTTATAAACAACAACTGAAACCGTGTCTTGCAACTTAAAGTGTTTGGCAACCTGAAGTACAGTTTGCTACCAGTTCCACCTATAATCAGATCAGAAGTGACTACAGGGCTCTGGGAGTAAGGGTGAAGGAGTTGGGAGTGCAGGTGGTGTTCTCTTTGATCATTCTGATAAAGGGTAGGGGGTGGGGCCCAGGCAGAGATAGATGCATCCTGGAGGTGAATGCCTGGCTGCGAAGATGGTGTTGCCAGGAAGGCTTCGGCTTCCTTAACGACGAGATGCTGTTCCAGCAAGAAGGCCTGCTAAGCAGAGATGGGGTCCTATTGAGGAAGAGGAAGAGCATATTTGGATACAGACTGGCTAACCTAGTGAGGAAGGCTTTAAATTACATTTGAAGGGGGCAGGTGACCGAAGCCCACAGGTAAGTCAAAAACATGGGAGACCTGGGAGAAGGGTCAGAATTTGGGGGGAGCATGGGCTGTTATAGCAGAGATAAACAAGAGACAAGACAGAACTGGAGGGGGGGAATCAAATCAGTATCTTAGATGTCTGCATACTAATGCGAGAAGTATGGGGAATAAACTGGAAGAACTCGAAATGCTAGTAAATAAACACAACTATGACAGTTGGCATCACGTGGTACAGCTTGCTCAGGAATGACAGGCAGAGAAAAAAGGGAAAAGGTGTTGCATTATATATTAAAAATGCATACGCTTGGACTGAGGTGGAGATGGAAATAGGAGACAGACTTGTTGAATGTCTCTGGGTAAGGATAAAAGAAGTAAAAAACAAGGGTGAGGTCATGGTAGGGGTCTACTACAGACCACTTAACCAGGCAGAAGAGGCTTTTTTAAAAAATAAGTAATGATCATCCAAAGCACAGGACTTGATGAGATGGGGGAATTCAACTACTCATGTCTGTTGGGAAAAATAACACAGCAAGGCACAGATTATCTAACAAGTTCTTGGAATGTATTGGAGACAATTTTTTATTTCATAAGGTGGAGAGAGCTACTAGGGGAGAGGCTGTTCTAGATTTGTTTTTGACAAACAGGGAGGAACTGGTTGAGAATTTGAAAGTGGAAGGCAGCTTGGGTGAAAGTGATCATGAAATGGTAGAGTTCATGATTTTAAGGAATGGTAAGAGGGAGAACAGCAAAATTAAGACAATGGATTTCAAGAAAGCAGACTTTAGCAAAT